CTTAAAATTAACTTAAGATTAACTAAGCAATGATGAATCAGTGAAAAACATTAATGTAAACTGATTACTATAAAGCACAAGTGAGTATTACAAAGACAGGTCATATATTAATCATATCTTTCCCTGGAGAGTCAACCCCCTGATAAGGGGTCTACTGACCCCTTTTTAAGGGGTCTACTGCTCAGTTTCCCGGCCAAGCTACCCTAAGAGCCAGTACTAATACTTTGTACTATCCTATATTAACTAATACTTTGTACTATCCTATATTAACTAATACATTGGACCCCCGTGTTACGATCACCTCCCAGTGTGACCAATTATGTAAACGTATTTATGTAAGTGCATTTGTACGTGTATGTTTGGGGATCTGAAATGGACTAATCTAATTCACAATATTCCTTATGGGAACAAATTTGTTCAGTAATGGCACCTGAACATACTTCTGGAATGAAAACAATATCGTAAACCAGGGGTCCACTGTACTTTGTACTATCCTATATTAATCCTGTTGGTTCTCCTGCTCTAACCCAAATTCCGTGTCTCTTGCTTCTGCTTGAACTTTATCTCCTTTCACCTTTTCTAATACATGTATGTAAAAAAACAGGAGATGGCAACATATATTCTTGATTGGGAGAAACTGAGCCATGTGTTTTTTTCCTCTCAAATTTTACTTATTTCCCCTTTTTGTATTTCTTCCTGTTTTTTTTTTTAGTCCACTCCAAGTGTTTGCCTGTGGGAATATAGACAATTTGGCATCGTCTGGTGCTCTGTCGACCCAAAGGTGGGAATGAGACAGTAACTCTGTTTCATTTTGACTACACAGGTCCATCCCTGGACCCATTCAGCTAACCACTGTGCACTAACTCATTGCAAAGACTTGCCTGTAATTGGCACTGTGACCAGGGTCCTCGCTCCCAGGTGTAGCAGGGTATGGCAGGACATGGACGACTCTGTTTGTAGCTGGCTCGGGCATGGTCTTCCACTCTCGCTTGGGTTCACAGACAGGAATCTACGTCGGGTCATTTCTCCGGCTGTTAAAGAAGATTGAATACCTGTTACTACGACTGCTACTACTACCTCATACACACACACACACACACATGATAAAGCTCATGGAGCAGGGAGAGGGAGGACCCAAGTAGCGGTCAGTGAAGAGACGGGGCCAGGATGTGAGTCTTGACCCATGCAACCACAATTAGGTGAGTACAATTAGGTGAATAGGTGAGTACACACAGAGCTTTAAGAAGCTTTAAGAGGAGGTACATTAAAGCTCATGGAGCATAGACAGAGTGGACCTAGTAGTGACCAGCGAAGAAGCAGGGCCATGAGCTGTGAATTGATCCCTGCAACCACAGATAGGTGAATATACTCATTCAAACATACCACACACAACAGGCCAAGTGTCTATCAAGACTGTAAGTTTATTAAGTTACAGGTACACATAAATACAGTTACACAAATTATCATATATAATACAGTACCATACATATAAATTAGTTAAGATAATCCCCAGAAAAGGTCAGACAAAATGACTTATTTCTACTGGGGTCCTTGATTGGTTCTCCAAGGCTTCGGAAAATAAACAATGGGTGAGACAGGAAGCAACTTAGACTTACGATTCTCACCACAGGAACACTTGGAGTCGTCCCAGGTCGTCCAGGTGGTGACCTCACAGTCTATAGGACAGTCTACGTAGCACCAGGTTTCCTTTGGAGAGGGACGGGACTCACGAGGACACATCCTGTTGAAACAGTCAGCACTTAGTGTAAACAAGGACACATCTTGTTGAAACAAGCCTGTAGGCCTACTGCAGCGCTCATTTCTGATGTTTTACAAGTAGGCTACTTTAGTGTTTATTGTGTGTGTCTCACTCGTGTTGATACATTAAGGGGATACAATACAGAAAAATTGATGAATAAGACATATGTGTAACACCTGGGTGTCTTTATTGATGAATAAGACACATGTACAACAACTTGGTGTCTTTACTGATGAATAAACACATGTGCAACACCTGGGTGTCTTTTTTGATGAATAAAACACATGTGCAATACCTGACCACTTATTAAGACTGAGGTACCGACCACCTTCTATCAAGACTGAGGTACTGACCAGCTTCTATCAAGACTGAGGCACTGACCACCTTCTATCAAGACTGAGGCACTAACCACTTTCTATCAAGACTGAGGTATGGACCACCTTCTATCAAAGACTGAGGTACTGACCACCTTCTATCAAGACTGAGGTACAGACCACCTTCTATCAAGACTGAGGTATGGACCACCTTCTATCAAGATGAGGTATGGAAACCCCCTTCTATCAAGACTGAGGTACAGACCACCTTCTATCAAGACTGAGGTAGGACCACCTTCTATCAAGACTGAGGGGACTGACTTATTTCCATAGGGGCCTTATTTCCCCTAGGGGCCCTTATTTCTAATTGGGGTGCTGTGTACAAGGGCCACAGTGTGAGCCCCTGCCCAGCCTCCTTATTAATTCACTGATTTACATGACTGACTTTTTATAATTAAACCCGAGATCACCAATCGAACAACTTACCCCTCAGGAACAGCCACGCCTCCTGATCGAACACAGGTTATGGGACGATTCCGGACAACCTTCTCCACAGGAGGAGTGCCCCAAGGGGACACAGGAGGTCCCGTTGCCCACCTGCCAGGAGTAGTGCCAAAAGGAGGCACCTCAACACAAGGTTCTTCCTGCCTCAGGGGTGGGCATGTAGCAAGTTTTTCCCCCGGGTTTCGCCCAC